TTTATCATTCCGATTATTGAAATTTTTGTGAGCCAGAATCGCTTGAGAATGAATCCGTGAATGGATTTCTTTCCCTCCCACCCCTAGTTTGATCATAAGTCCCCGCAATCCATGTTATGTCCTCCCTCCCTGTCTTTCTCTCCAGCTCGTAACCTCGCTGCCTTTCTTTTACTTCTCCCAGTCTGTCGCTGTTGATTTCACACTCCCTCTCATTTAGTGTTAGTGTTTTCATATCTGAGACATGGACATTAGTGCGTAATGACAGTAAGTCTTGACGCCTAAAGAACTGATTGCTCCAGTCTTGTCATATCAAAGACACAAAGGAGTCTTAAGTAAATAAATCAGGCTATTCTGCTCTAGCAGAGAGCATCCCGTCAGCCTGCTCTGAAGGTTTGGGGTGAACGCTGTTTATTTCTCTCATCTCTTTTGAAGTTAGAGATCGGAGGCTGGACATGAAGATTTAGACATCTCATCAGCAACACCACATATCTGCACATAACTAAAGCTGGCTATACGGGCTCTGCATTAAGGGGCGACTCCTGTGGTTGTTGTTTTGCTCAGTTTTCCTCTGGCTTGGCCTGAAGGAGAGTGTCATTAATGCTCTAAGGGTGGAGTGTGTTTATTCTGCGCTTTTAGCGGAACTTTGTCCATTTACTCAAATGCTGACCATGGTGAATGTAAATAGCCATTATTCAGAACCAGCAGACAAGTAACTTGTCAAATTAACGCTAAACCTGCTTTTTAGACCATTTTTGGACTATTGGGCTCAACAGTAAAGATGGCCGGATGGCCCAGGGCCAATGTGAGCGGGTTTCAGGCCAGTTGACAAAAAAGTTGAATTCAAATGTCACTAAGGTAAAGATGTCTGGCTAACATGTAAAAGTTTTTTTTCCGAACTTTAAATGGCATCAGGCAGAAGTGTGTTGGATTTTGAAAAATATGAATTATGACAAAAAAAAAAATCCTTATTGATGGACTGCTGTTTATGTGCCAGTGCAATATTAGAACTACTCTTGGTCCAAAAAAAACAAAAAACTGTAAAATTGCTTACCAGAAACATTACACACCAGCATGAGACAAATGATCCTCTTACCACACCTACTGACTACTTAAAGACAACATGAAATCGACCCTGTTGAATTTTTTGTCATTAATATTTAATATCCCTAGTGTTGAGCATGATTATTTGCTGCATGTTATTCTATAAAAAAGAAGGGGGGAAAAAGGCTGTTAAAAAAAATCTGTTTCTGCAATGACTTTTGTAGGCCATGTGTTCAATAACTTATAATACTAATTAATAATATCATGTCCTAATTATGGTATTATAAATTGATTTCTTCTCCTACCTACCACTTTCCAGTTACAGTATGCTGTTAAATGTGTCACATTATGAATGTTAAATGTGTGTTGAATACAGTTCTGTTGTCTTTGAGATACCATGTGAAAAAATATTCTATACTATTCTATTCCCCACCCTACAAAGATACAGTTGTATTCAGCATGTCAAAGTTTGTCAAAAACAGTGGTATCAAAATATAATTCCTTCATGACAAACTAACAACTATCAACTGCTTATGAACCTGAATTTGCTGCTTTAACTTGAATGATCCGCTTCTGTCACGCTCTCAGCTTCCTGCTGCCCATATACAGTTGGGCTTCCCTGTGCTCATGTAAATTGACTGACAGGCAGAAAGCACCTCAAAGTCATCTGATTGGTGAATGTGAACGAATTTAAATGTGGTATAGATATTTTATATTCCATAAAAAAACAATATTACACACTGCACCTTTAATGCAAACAAAGCTTTCTGTTTGCGAAAATATTTGAGTCACAATTCATTTGTCAGAAGCCTTGTTACTATCTGAGAACATTTGCCTCTGCAGCGGTAACATCTGAGGCAATTTCAGACTGCCCTTTTGAAAAGTTTAAAGCTTCTCTGATATTGTCGAGTCCCATCATGTCACGTCGGTTTATTGTTAGAAACATTACCTTATACTTAGTCATAGCCCCTGTGTTTTGTGGGTCATGTTCTCTTTACATCACACCATAGTCAGTGAAAAAAAAAAAGAGAGACAAAACTCTGAAGCACACATGGCTCAGTGGGTGCTTCGTTTCTCATCTCTTAAGAGTTTCTCTCTGCGTGGTAGGTGTGATTGTTGTGGAACACACTCTGGCTGTTTATTCTCCACTGAACCAAGTGGCACTATGATAAGATTCTGCCTCTGTAATTTTGCAAGGTCACATTTCCTTGGTGAAGATGTCTGGTTGGTTGATTTGTGCCCAATCGTTTCTTTCCTAACTGATGGTCTGAGCCTTCTTGCTTGATGAAATATCACAAGTCTTCAAATTAATGTTATGCTCTGCTGATTAAACCTGGAATGGAATATTTCATACTATTTTTAGCAGCTGAGCTGGTTACGTATGCATATCTGAAAGATGAATATTGCTGTACCGCTGCTGAAAACACGATTGTCTGAGATGTGTTGGCAGAAGCTTGATAGATATTGTAGAGCACCAAATCAGCAGTGGTAGCTAAAGTACTTGACACTTAAGTAAAACTATAGATATCTTACCAGAAAATTACTTTGATAGAAGTTAAGTCACTGTTTAGAATATTACTTGAGTAAAAATGTTAAAGTATGTGATATTTATTGTACTTAAGTATGAAAAGTATTTTTAAATATTAAACTTAAGAATTGAAAATACAAGATTCAAAAATTGAAAAGTAGCAAATAAATATAAAAAATTGTTCTATACACAGTTTGAGCAGCAAGATTGTGTTCAGTTTTAACTCTTTCTTCCATTTTGTATCTTTGGGTTAGCATAAGAGCCCTTCATCTTGTACGGAGACATATCATCATTCCAACATAAGAAAACAGTTTTTGCGAATATGGAATCTGCATCTGAAGTGGCATTTAGATTCATTTACACAGACTGTTTAATGCAGCTCAGAGGTTACATGGATGCATTTAGCCAGCAGTTACAAATGCATAAATAATGTTGAATGTTGATATTTGAAAAGATTTAAAACATGAAAAGATACTTGAAAAGTGAGATTAAAGCCGCCACTGTTAATGAGCGAGTCATTGAAATTAAATCGATTCATTCAAAAGGTTGATTTATACAGGAATGAAACATTTGACTGTTTTAATGAGTGAGTCACTTAATCATTCATTCATTCAGAAAACTGATTCATTCAATAAGGAAACACCGTCTAAAATGTAAGTAGCGTAACTTAATACTAACTTTATTAAACTTGTATAAAATAAATATTACATTTGTTATTATGCTGATATCTGAAGAAAAAAATGTCACTCTTAGTGTGATATAGATGAACTATATTAAATGATATAAACATAAAAGACATACAGAGACATTTTGCCTCTTATCTTGAATGTTATTGGCTTTCTAAATGCATTTTAATCGACACAGTGTATGCGTGCACTCTCTGGGTGTGTTTTTGTTTGGTTTTTGTGATAATTAAATATTCAATGGAATATACATTTTTTCACATAACGTAAGAGTGCAGTTATTACAGTATGCTTAGTTATTACATTATGAGTTGCTACATAATTTGTATTTTAAAATGTATTTAAATTGAAAACAGTTTGAGAAATACAGCCTTGGTGAGCATAAGACACTTCTTCCAAAAACTTAATCTTGTCAACCCCAAACTTTTGAATGGTAGTGTATATTGTGTATATAACTAATAATCATACTGTATATGACATGTTTGAAGTAGTAAATTAACCTGTTATCAAAGTGTGTCAGTTTACTGATGTTCATTCACTCTTTAGCTTCAGCTCAAGCAGATCAGTCTCTGACAGACTATGATTTGGAATATTTGAAACAATCATACTCTTTCTAGATGTTTTGTGATTGTTAATTATTGCTGTCATTTATTTTGTCATTTTTATCAAGATGTTTACATGACAGTCATTTAATTAGCACCATGATTTAAGTCATTTTTAGTTGACTAGATTAAAACTGCCTGAGACTTCAGCATTTTCCGCCGTGCTCAGTCTAGCTGTTTTGAACACGTCTTATGTAAACACTCTGCCTTAAGACTCGTGTCCAATTGGGGTCAGACTAACTCAAAACTAGGCTAATTATACAGAGCTTCCTTTTACATCACACAGGCAACCCACCAACTATTCGAGTTTGAAAACGTAGTATTGCACATCCCAAAAAAATTAACAGGTGTTGTGGGCTGCACATGACACCAGAAAAAAACGAATAATCTGTCCGTGAAAGTGATGATTTTTAACGACCTAAAATAACGAAGATGAGATATTTTGACAAGCTTCCTCAGTCGCCTATTTTCTTAATGACTGTATTTTGAAGCTCTACCTCGTTCATCAAAGCTTTCACATCTTACAGTGGCGTTCGCAAATCAAACCGTTATTTAACAGTGCGGCTGTGTTTTATTTCAGATTATTCCTGACAGCCCGTTTTCAGTTCATTTAATTGCGCGCTCGTGGTTTAATTTCAGGACGGCAAGCTTTACATGCATAAATGACCTTTACGATTAGCTGAGGCACACGGCGCTGGAGGAGATTACACTCATTTATGCGTGTGACATCACTCACCTCTGTGGTTTATGTCTACGGGAAGCACAAATAAGGAAGCATGTATAGTCCAGTGAGATTTTCTCATGTCAAAGACATGTACAATGATTCATGCTTGCAGTTGTCTTGTACTGTTAATTTCTGATTTGTTTATGCTTCATGTGAGCCAGTGGCCTTAAACCTCTCATTAGCCAAAATCACATCAAGGCTCAGGTCCTGCCCAAACTTTTCTGGGTTGTAAAACATGCTATGAGTATTTTACATGCATTGCCATTTCATTAATTCCACTGTTCATCCTCAAATGTTTGGTTGGTTCTGTGAGTCTACAAAACACAGAGAATATAAAGAAGAGTCAGTTCTCATACCCTTGGTCCATATCCATCCTAGCTCTAATGAACTTCCCTTGCTTTTTTCTATCTCCCTTCAACAAGGCCAAGTGGAGTCAGTGGCCACGTTCAAGGGTAATGAGTTCTTCAGCTACGACCTGTCCCAAAAGCCCATCCAGAGCAGCACAGATGAAATCACCCTGTCCTTCCGAACGCTGCAGCGGAATGGTCTTCTGCTCCACACCGGCAAGTCTGCCGACTATGTCAACCTGTCTCTGAAAAGTGGGGCCGTGTGCCTGGTCATCAACCTTGGCTCCGGTGCCTTTGAGGCTCTGGTGGAGCCGTCCGACGGCAAGTTCAACGACAATGCCTGGCACGCGGTCCGTGTGTCCCGCAACCTACGTCAGGTAACGTTCATCTTTGCACATCGTGGCTCCACAGGGTGCTTCATTTGATCTTTCTGATATTTTTGATGACTGAATTTTGGGTAACTTGTATTAATGTGTTAAGTAGGTGTATAAATGTGTAATTGCAATATTAACTCTTTAAAACTGCTTTTAGCGATGTCTGCACTGCTAGCAAAAGTAATTAAACTCTTTAATAAAACTCTAAGTTTTCTGATTGGCTAATAGGGAATTAATTTCAAGCGTGGTAGTGGTCAAACAATCACTACAAGTAGTTTTAAGTCAGTCTAAACCTTTCATTTAGCTATGTGTTTCTTCTGAAATAACTGTTGTTCCACATATGATTTTAGCCTGAAATCCTGTGATATCAAGAGTATATTGTTTGTAATAAGAGGTGAATTTTAGGCTGCATTTTTGGGGAAGGGGTTGTTCCAAACAAAAGTGAGCAGCCAAATTTTCTTCAGGAAAGACCCTTCAATTAGGCCGTTAGCAAAGGAAACTTCATGGAAGTATATTAGTTTTTAAACCCAACCGGATGTGTCACTTACATATTTACAGATCTTGCAGGAATGAATCCTAAAACCTGTAAACAAATGAAAAAAAATGTAACTTTTGGTTCCTGAAGTCAATGTTGTTGTTGATTTTTTTTAGTTTTTTTTTTTAGAATGCCTTTTGAGTGCATGAAATAAGGTCTGTGGTTTAGCACAAGCTTAACATATTTTCACATTTTATTCTACAACATTAAAATGCATCAGTAATATGATTTTACATATCTTACTCCTTTGCTAACAAATGGCTGAATGGGACTACAAAAGAAATTGGTGACATTAAACGTCATGTCGAATAGGAAAAAGATAATTTGCAAGTCCACTTTTACAGCCTTGTTGTGTTGATACTTGTGCACCTGCACACTATTCTAACTCAAATTTTACAATTTGTAGACTTTAAATAAAGATTAAAGGAGTTGATGGAAATTAATTTATAATAATGTTATAATAATTTAATTTAATTATAATTTATGCATTTAGCAGACATTTTTATCCAAAGCGACTTACCAGTGCATTCAGGCTATATATTTTTTAACCAGTATGTAAATAAATTATTATTTATGTAAATAGTATAAATTAGTGGTGGTGATATTATAATCTTGTGACCTATGCTTAGCTTTTTTACTTCTGGTGATTGTATTTACAGTGTAGGCTTCAAAATTCATAAATATTGTGTTTATTTGAAAAGATCATCTGGATGACGAAACGTGAGAATCATAAACTTTTGTTGGTCACAGAGCTTATTTTCTGTAGTAATCCAAAAGCCAATGAAAAAAAAAAAATTCAGATAATGTTCAGATTTAATAAAGTGCTCAATTTTGAATGGAATTTACCCAGAGATGCGCTGCACAAAGCCCAGTCTTAATTGGAATCAGATGGTTTCACAGGTGCTTTAGTGGACCAGGCAGTTGGAGCTTGTCCACTTAACAATGCTAGCTATCAGAGAATTAACAAGGTAATATGTAACTCTAATTGCAAAATAGATTTGCGTTGCAAAATAGATTCACTGAGATGTGTTCATTTCAGCGATGTAGTGAGAGCAAAATATTTCTGTTGTTGGAATCTTGGAGGTCACTGCAGGATTGAAGTACCATTAAGCCACAGGCACTTCCAGACATAGACGGCGGTGATAATTACCTTCCAGTTGTTACTAACCAGTATGGATGTGTGTGTGTGAGTGTGTGTGAGTCCCTGTTGAGGAGAAGTGTTTTGATTTGGCGACTCCATTCAAGTCCTGACTGCACCGCTCTGTTTTGCCTGTGATTAAATACACAACGGTGAATATGCTCCAATTACGCTGGTAAAATAATCTTTCCAGTAAGCTTTCCATCTTGTGGAGAAAGGGGAATGTTTACTATTTATTATATAACCTAAGAGAAAAGGGGTCCCTCTATCACAGCCTTCAAAAAAGCAGCGATGTAGTTGAGGGTGTTTTTTTTTCAGTGCCATTATCCTGATTGTTTTCGATCCGTTATTGCTGAAATATGATTATATGATATGGCGCATCGTATAGACACACACTATGCCTGCTCGCTTCTGCCGCCACTGATTATTTCTCCATTTGACTGCCGTAACCTTTAGCTCAAGTGTTGCTTACAGAGCCGAGGGTGCACCTTGCATCTGTTAACGAATGAGCTGTATTTTTGTTCTGCCATGACAAATTATGGAAGTACCGAGCTCGCCGACGCCGAGCAGGCATAAACCAGTGCATAACGGGTGTTGACATTTTTACTTTTGTCATTCATTTACCTTAAATAATAAGTGAGTCGCTACTGCTGCTGTCATTCTTTACTCTAACGCTGCTGCCTCTGCAAGATCCCTCCTTCAAAACCCTCCCTGAACCATCTTGTTTGACAGATTAGTTGAATTCTCTCTCTTTTTCTCTCTTTTACTAACACTGAAGCCTCTAAGTAGATTTGTCATTGTTTATCTTCTGCCTTTACCCTTTCAAATACTAACATGAAATCCTCCATGGAATGTGAGCCATCTGTTTGCCGTTGACAGTGTCCAAAGAAATTAGGTATAAACTAACAGATTTCAACAGCTATTTTTTTTCTCATTCTTCCTGGGAAGATATATTCTAATGGAGGGCGGAGAAATTAGCATAATTTCGTGGTATGCTTAAATTTGCTTTAAAATTGCTAGTAAGTCATATTTCAATCCTTTTAAAGCGTCTGTGTAGTTTATGGTATGTAATTTTACTCTCCCTCCTTGTTTTTTTCTTTTTTTGAAGCGCGCAGGGGTTGGACTCCCTACGGTAAACAAACTACATTATATGGTAGATATCACATTCTAATTTGTCTAGTTTGGTTTGGCCCTTTCTTTTTATCTCTTTTTGCTTTTACTGTGCAGAAACGATGAAAGAAAAGTTTTAAAATGGCATCAATCCCCAGGTGTCATGTAAAAGTTCATTTTTTGCCATTTGCAATTTATGTACATTGTTTTTTTTTATTCCACTCACAATCCTCTCACCCATATCCTTATTCAAATGCTTTAGGTTGTATGAGTTCTACCATAAGTAACACATCTTATTTGGCTGAGAGTTTCTACGGTGGGCGTAAATGATGCTGTAAGCTGCTGACTACAGTCTGGGACACCCTATGGCTGACACTGGATTTGTTTTCTCAGACAGAATTTGTACTGACAAATGCATATTTTTATGCTTAATGTAAATCCTGATGTATTGCTCCAAAACCATATCCTCAGAATTACACAGACAAACTTGCCAGTGACATTAAATTACATGTGAATCTAAAATATAAACTGCCCAGTGTCAAAGTAAAAGGGCAGAGGGTGCTCTTTCAAAGCACTTCATAATTTCTCAGATAAAAGAAACAATCAAAAACAAACATTTGAGTGCAGCTCTTGTGCAGCATTTCTGTCCACCTGCTCTATTTTCCCTCATTCTCCCCCTTTGATGTTGGCTTTTATTAAATGTTGCAGCATCTCATACAGAGATTTCGGTGCACTGTATGATGTAGCATTTAATAATTCTGATTCTTGCTTAGATATGTCTCTTAATATGCAATGTTCTCAAGCATTGTGTTCATATCTGCCAAGTTAATCAACAGGAGAGAAGGGCAGTGAAGGCTTTTATTTGTAGATGCAGCTACATTAGCTTAGATACAGTTTACTGTTAATAGCACAATATATGCCCAATGCAAAGAAAAAAAAGGCAAGCAGAAAACTCTACTCTTCAAACTTTGCTGCAGACAGATGATTTCAGTGTGAAGCTTAGTTGATTATAATGGGAGCGATTTAGTTTCGACACGTCGTGTAGGTACGGTGTACCTGTGGGTTGCTTATGGTTGCCAAGCTACCTCTTAACTCCAATTAGGAGTTATAGTATAGAATATAGATATAATATAGAATATATAGAATTAATATAGAATTCAACTGCATAAATCTGCTATTTTTCAGTGGCTTCAAACCTGATTAAAATGGTCATATTTGTAATGTATTATTCTTTTGAGACTTGTTTTTAACTCAAGCATTGCATAATGTAAAATTATCATTTATAAATATGAATAATGATGTGAATGATCTTCCTTTTTGGTTTGCATCCTTCACATTGCAGTAAATAAAGAAGTAAATAAATATTATGTATTCATTTTTAAAGTATTTATTAAATTTGCTGAATTAAATAATATATGACTATTGAAAAAAACATTACATAGACTTTAAGTGATGTAAAATTACTCTGTGAGAGGATTTTGCACCTATCACCCCTAAATACAATCAGATAACATGTTTAGATGTTTACACTGTGTTAAAATGTACAAGCCCTTCTGTTTCTACAAGTAACATGTTATTGACAGTTCTTTCTCATTTCCAGTTGCCTTTAACTTTAACACTTTAATCTGAAAGAATGACCTTGGGCAGACAAATGGAGGTGTACTGCTTTAGCACAAACACTCACTGTTTATATGAATTGAAAGTGGAAAATGACAGAATTGAATAAAAATGATTGTGGCTGCCATACAGCCGTTATTAACCCTCTGTCTAGGGAACAGAGAAAAGATTGACCTCCCCTTACCCTTCTCTTCCTGTGGCAAGAGTACATCTTGTTTTCTTCATGAGTTTTTTTTTTTTTATTGATTTTCGTCTTTCATTTCTTTAAGTAGCTGATGACATGTGGCACTTTTTATCCAGCATGTGCACATGTTTTGCATCATTGGACTTACGCTTTGTATACCGTGCTTTTTTAAAAATATAATATGCAGCTTATACACACTATTATGCACCTGCATAATTTGCTTCCACTGCATGTGTGGGTAACTATTTTTGTTGATGTTGTGTGGTGCTGTACATTATTTATTTATTTTTTGGGTTTCTTTTCCTCTCCATATCTTGCTTTCTCTGCTCTTTCTCTCTTATAAAGGTTCAGACAAATACTGGGTTTCAATTTCAGGACAATGCATACCATCTACAATTTCCAGCAAACAAGCTGCATTTTTTTTCCAGCTTTGCCTACTTGTCCGCAGTAATAATAATGTTCACAGAATATTTGACGATATTAGAGATGGAATCTGAATCCTTTCTGTCTGTCGTCATGGAAACGCCTCAACCCCAAGCATTTATTAAGACCGTAAGAAACCACCTGTTTTGGATGTCTGCCAGTGTTTCCACACTTCAACATTAACATTTACAGATGTTGCAAGTATAATTGTGCTCTAGATGCATTTAATTAATCTTAAATTACTCTTTATAATGAGTCTAACTACATTAAGTCCTGAAATCGCAGCCCGAGATGCCTTAACCGTCATGCTTGTGTATTAACAAACTGAAAGCTGTTGCTACCCAAACACCTCCAAAGTATTCTTTTCAAGACATCTCTTCTATAATGTGTGAAATTAATCCAGTAGTTGATCAGAACTGACCACCAACATAGCTAAATGCAACCTCTGTTATACTAACAACCATTTTTGTGTCTCAATCCCCCCCTTTTATACTAATCTCGCACAGTCACCCTTAACATCACTTGCTAACCCACTCAACATTTAGTGATTCCTCTTAGCTCCTGTAGCCATACACCTCCCCTTCCTGTCTCTCCTCTCCAGCACTGACTAGTGCACAGTCCAGCACACATGACAGCATTCTCTCATTCAGAAAGCAGCAATAGCAGACATAAAAATGGGTTGCCCCCTCGCTAACGTATGCATACAAAACCAGAGGAACCCCCACGTGAAACAGATTTGAGTTTTTTTAGTAGAGGAACTTGCTGAACCCAACAAGGATTTCAGCTTTTGCATAATCAAAGGATTTCCCACGTTCCCTCTCTTGTTTCTTTTCTCTCTCTCTCTCTCTCTCTCTCTCTATTTTCTATCCCTCCGTGGCCTTTATGCAAACACAGGTGACGATATCGGTGGACGGCCTGCTGACAACCACTGGCTACACCCAGGAGGACTACACCATGCTGGGTTCAGATGATTTCTTCTATGTGGGTGGCAGTCCAAACACCGCAGATCTGCCTGGCTCCCCTGTGAGCAACAACTTCATGGGCTGCCTTAAAGATGTAAGAAGCATTTTGTTCTTTCCTTTGATTTCATGCGAGATGGTCGAGATCTGCTCAAAGAAGATCTGGTTTCTCGAGTTCCATTGATGTTCTTTTTGTTTGGCGAGTAGTCTGTCCTCTTTTACCTCTTCCTTATCTGTCCTTTCTCCTTTCTCTTTCACGTCCATTCGTACCCCTCCGAGCATGTCACATAATTTATGTCATGTCTATACTGTTGAAGTTCCAGCTTTACTATCCTGACAGCCAAATTAAAAATTGATTTCCTCTATAGTTCCCCATTCGACTGTCCCAGACTCTCCATCTCTGTCTCGTTGACCCCGGACTCTATTAATCACCACTCTCTACCTGCTCAACCGTTCAGTTAGTATCAGTGGCCCTCTTCAACAGGAGCTTGAGCGCTCCCTTATCGCACCTCTGATAGAGACATATACTCATCTAAAATGCTGTTACGCTTTTGGGAGTCTGTGTTTTGTCTTGTTTTAGTCTTGTCACTCTTTTGTTTTCATTTGGTCTTTTGTTGTACAGGTATTGTGTGTCATGATTGTTGTTGGATGTTCATGTTTTCCCCCATGTCGACTGCGTCCACCTGTGTAGCATTTAATTGGGCAGGTTTGTAATGGCTGCAATATAACAAAGAGTGAAAAATTTAAGGGGGTCTGAATACTTTCCGTACCCACTGTATATACTCTCTCGAGTCATTTGTCAGGTACTTATTAGTTGTAATATTTGGTGAGCCTTGTTTTGTGATTCTCTTGGTTGTTTTTTTCTTATCTCATCTTTGAAAATAAATATATATTTAGATCCTCCATTGAGACCACTTTTTTGCCGAGAACAAATCCCCTGCTTTATGTTGAGAACTATTTGATGTATTTAATAAAATATGAACGTAAAATGAACAGCTTGAAAAGTAGCTATTTTTTTACAATAAAATATCTGTATAGTCACAACTCAGAGGTTTTGACTTTCTTAAATGTATCCAATAATTATAAGCACTTAACAGTATCATTTTGTCACTCTATTTTTTTTCATTGTAGTAAATACTGTTTTGAATCATTTTAATGACTAAAACATATTTAACTGTCACACAGTTTGCATGCAAACCTGTTAATACAAGATTTTCCCTCATTGCGAATAAAGTAACGTTCCTCAAAATTGTGACACCCAAGGAAAGCAAATTACATTTATACATTTGGCAGACGCTTTTATCCAAACCGGCTTCTATTGCAATTGCATTCAAAGTACGTGTTTTTAGCAGTTCATGTATTCCTTGGGAATCAAACCCATGACTGATGTTGTTAGCACCCTACGCTATTGTCTCAGCTACAGCAATACTGGATTACTCATTTTGGATGAACAGTTTAGACCTTTTCTATGGCATGGCGGGAAGACAAATCAATGTTTCGTAATTTGTTTTAATTTTGTAAATTTAATCTGTGCAGTTTTTATGTTCATTGAATGTTTATCACCAGAGAATTTTCAAACCACTCAAACCTTGGTTCCAGGAAAAAGACTTTTTTTTTAAATGTATGATAACTAAAATGTCTTACAGTGTTTAGTCTGACCACCTGAGGTTGACATTTTCTGAAGGTTTAGAACCTTTTGTCTGATAATTGGGAAAAAAGATTTTGAGTCCCTGTTTTGTACCCCATTTTGAAAAGTGCCTGTTCCAAGAAGATTTGTACATTTTCTAAAGACAATTTAAGTAGTGCTTGCCAGTGGAAAAAGTCTCTGACAATACTTAGATGTTGTTTTTGGTTTCTTGAGCAGTTGTTGAGGTGTTCAGGGTGTTTTTAGTGCTTCATCATGCAGTTGCTAGGCTGTTGTGTGTGGTTGCTAAGGTGGCCCAAGTACAAAAAGTGTCTCCCTCTTCTATGTTTAGCATGTTTCTTTAGGGGGTTTGAAAAATCCCTAACCCCAAGTATAGTGACCTCCGATTACATGAATGTGAGATAGGAAACAAGCAACGAGACATTTTAAGAAACACTGAGAAAACAGACCCGTATCTTAATCTGATAGTGAATCAGGAAGATTCCTGATGCTTAGGTTGTGATGGTTTAAAATGGTCTCATTGACAGATCCCTCAGATTTTTTTGTCCACACTCTCAGGCAATAATTGCATTTTTCATGTTCCTTCGCTCGGAGCTGGCACCTCATGTTTTGCTCCTACCTCTTCCCTTTATTTTTCTGTCATGAGGGCTGACGAGAAACATAGCTGTCTCATGTTATTTTCAGAGACACTCAAGTTCACACCCAGCAACAAAGCGTCAGTCATCATCTTCGGACAGAGAGAGCGACTGGTGTAAAAATGAAAAGCATGTTTGCTGTGCTGGGCTGATTCGCCCATCTGGCTGTAGAGACAGTGCATGTGGCTGAGACAAAAAAAAATCAGCCCCAGGGGACACATTCACAATGCATGTGTTGTAGGAATGTTATTTTAGGATCAGTTTTGCTTTGTGTCTTATAGTGTGGGCTAGACATCATACCCTAGATCAAGATTTCTCAGTTGACATCACCTAATGAATGCGCTGTTTATGCGTGCGATTCAGAAAACCGCTTAGCTTTGGTATCGTCAGAGCTAATGTTAGCGTAGGATGATTCATCATCCTACATTCGTTAATGAAACAGAATATCGATTAGATGGTAGCGCTCTAGATGAGGTCGCTAGGTTTATGTGATCCACTCGTACTTCGAGTATTTAAAGAGACTGCTGTGTTTACTGACTTGAAAACTGTGCCCCCGAGGTACACGCATCAGCTGTGGTTTGTTTGTACCAGTGGGCAGCAGGCTACTCTATTCCACCCTGTTAGCATTCAAGCACTTTTTTTCCCTCTCTCTCTCTCCCCGTCCCAGGTGGTCTACACCAATAATGAGTTCAGACTGGAACTCTCCCGCCTGGCTGAATTGCGCGACCCCAGGGTCACCATCCACGGTGACCTGACCTTCCGCTGCGAGGATGTCGCCGCATTAGACCCCGTCAGTTTCGACATGCCGACTGCCTATGTAACCCTTCCGCACTGGAACGCAAAGAAAGCCGGTTCCGTGTCCTTCGACTTCCGAACCACCGAACCCAACGGCCTCCTGCTGTTCAGCCACGGGCGTCCGCAGAGTTCCAAAGATCACAGACCGAAGGTGGACTTCTTTGCCATGGAGCTGCTTGAAGGTTTCCTCTACCTGCTCATGGACATGGGCTCCGGGAGCATCAAGATGAAAGTCGGGAACAAAAAGGTCAATGACGGAGAATGGTGCCACGTGGATTTCCAGAGAGAGGGCAGGAAAGGTCAGGATACTGCAAGATCAGCACACACATTATTCGCCTGTTTAAAACGCTGTTGTTAACCTACTTGCTTTGATTTTTGCTCAGTTTTGAGACTGAAGGGACGTTTCCGCTTAATGTCTGCCATTAAAGCACCTCGTTCTGCCCGCTTAGGGTCCATCTGATATGCATACTTCACAAACTGCTTAATCACTGTACTCCATTTCTTCTACTTCTCATTACCTCTCATTACTATAAGAGCTCAACTCAAATACACTTTCCACAGTTTTAAAGCAGCAGGCCCGTCGTGAGATTTAGCAAATCCCGGGGGAAGAGGTTGAAGATCTTTCCACTAGCTGAGCTCAGGAAAAGGGGGGGGGGGGGGGGGGGGGGGGGAGGAAGCACAGTGGATTGTTAATGCTAGGGCTGTCAATTAAATGTGTTTTTTAACGGCTACTACAAGCATCCAGGGTTGTGCAGTTCATGAGTTTGAATTTGAATTGGCCACACCCCTCAGGAAGTTGAATTGGAATGAAAGGAAAAGGAATGTACTGATTTAGAATACACATCAAATACAGTCTATCATCTCTCTGTCTATCTGTCTGTCTGTCTGTCTGTCTGTCAATCTGTCATTCTGTTTGTCGTTCTGTCAGTCATTCGATTCGATTTGGTTGCTCTGTCTGATGTTCTATCTACAGTATATATCATTCTGTCTGTCGTTCTATCTGTCTTTCGTTTATTTTGTCTGTTATTCACTGTCAATCGGTCTATTGTTATTGTTTTTGTCTTGACAAACTTTGCTTTTCTAATGAAAATTAGTCATAAATTTCTTTGGATTCCAATTCATTTTAATTCTACTTCCTTACATCCAAATTCTAAAAGTTTACTGCCTCAATTCAAATTAAGGATTTGAATTGCAGTTGAAATGCATTGTCAGTGCCATTCTAAATAGTGCACAGCCTTGCAGACAACACTCTGCAAATGATTTTCTGATTATTTCCAGTTTCAGTTTAATTAATCAAAGTATCATGTCATCTTTTTTTCAGTAACACTTTAAGGACCAATTCTCACTATTAACAAGTTGCTTATTAGCATGCATATTACAATCATATTGGGTTTTTATTAGTACTTATAAAGAACACATTAGTACCTTAGTCTGCATGACCATATTTTAGATCCCTGAATTCTACCTCATACCTAAACTTAACAACTACCTTACTAACTATTAATAAGCAGCAAATTAGGAGTTTATTGAGGCTAAAGTCTTTGTTAATAGTGAGAATTGTTCCCTAAACTAAAATGTGACCTACTTTTCTAAATCAATTTATAGTCCTTTTATTAAAAATTGGACAAAAATAGCTCTAAATGTTGTGGTGCATAGGTTCACATGCAGATTATCATCAATCACTACTTCCTCCTCATTTCCTATCACCTAGGCTCTATCTCCGTCAATGGCCGCAGCATGCCCTTCTCCACCAATGAGGGCAGTGAGATTCTGGATCTCGATGGTGAAATGTTTCTGGGGGGTCTGCCGGAGGACAGCGGCAGTCTTCCTCTCCCCCCAGAGGTGTGGACCGCCCGCCTCAGGCTGGGCTTTGTGGGTTGCGTGCGGGATCTCTTTATAGATGGGCGCAGCAAGGACCTGCGGCAGTTGGCGGAGCTTCAGAGCGCTCCAGGTGTCAGCAGCTTCTGTACGAGAGAGACCCATCGGAGGTGCAGCTCTGAGCCCTGTTCCCACGGAGGCCGCTGCCGTGAGGGCTGGAATCGACATGTCTGCGACTGCACTGGAACTGGATATCTGGGCCCCAACTGTGAGATGGGTGAGGAAAGTAGGGCTTAAAGCAGTTGGGAGGGAGGATTAAACATGGGATTACTTCTTACTGATGAGACACGTTCTCATAAAGAAGAGCAAGGCTTCAGTGCTTCACTTGTATACTTTTATATTGAGATACAGCTGCACTTTAGTTGTATTCATCAGATCCCACCTGCCTAGACCTTTGTTTGCTATTGCTGTATCGTTTCTAACTCTCTCCTGCCCTCTGCTGTCTGTCATTAAGAATAGCACCTTGACCACACAATGTCCACTACAGACATGTCACAGGTGACTCAGCATAGGTGCACATACACTTGAAGCAATATTTGAATAGTTATATGTAGCGAATAATGTAAATAGTATACTAAAATTAGCATGTAGCATGATGGTAGCATGATATTTTGCTGATAATTATGTCTGCTTGGCTGATTAACAGAAGTTTATCGGTTTTCTTTTATGTGGCTTTACTGATCTTTTGAGTACAATCATGGAGTTGCATTGTAGTTTTATGCAAGGTTATTTTAATAAACTAAAACTAACCTGACTAAAATGAAAATAAAAATTAATAAAAACAATGTAGACACATTTTAAAAAACAGTAACCAAACAAAATGACAAAATACAACAAAGTTACTAAAATTAAAATGAAAAGTAAAAATCTAAAAACGTATATAACTCAAAATATATATAAAAAACAACCGTTTTTTAAGTATCTTAACAAATTACTATTATTATCATTATTATTAATGATAATAATAATATACAATAATAATAATAACTTCCATTACATATACATTACAATGTAAAAAACTTATTTAAATAAACATATTTCTTTATTTATTTAACTATATTGTAACTGTAATTAATATTGAAAATGTAATAATAATAATAATAATAGAAGTTTTATTACTTTTTAAATTTATATTTAATTTAAGTTATTTTCTTACTTATTTTAGACCACTTACAAATGTAAAAGCAACAGAAAAAATCCAAATTTTTTAGACCTGTGTTTTCTGATTTACTCTCTTTTTTTCTGCTCTCTCAGAATCTGCAGTGCTGAGTTATGATGGCAGCATGTTTCTGAAGGTCCTGATGCCTCACGCCGTTCACACTGAGGCTGAGGACGTGTCTCTGCGCTTCATGTCTCAGAGGGCTTATGGTCTGCTCATGGCCACCACCTCCAAAGAGTCCGCCGACACCCTGCGCCTAGAGCTGGACGGGGGAAGGGTCAGACTCACCGTCAACCTAGGTAACCTTCCACTGCTGACCTCCGGTGTCGAGGCACTCATAGAACAAGTGTGGGGTTCCTTCCAGAATGCATTTCACCTCCATTCCTCCATCTTTATCTCTTTCTTGTCTTCCTCTCTCACTGTCTCTCTTTCTTTCTTTCTTTCGTTCTTTCTTTCGTTCTTTCTTTCTTTCTCTCTCTCTCACCTGTGCAGCCTTCAATGGCTATCTTTTCTGCAGCTTTCAGAGCAGACAGCCAGAGAGACCAACCCAGGTAGTTTGTCCTCAGAAGGCACATTGAGTCATAATAGGGGAGACAGAGGGGAAATTATATAATTTTCCTACATTTGAAACATATGATCATAATAATATAATAGAATTAATATAAAATAATTGAATTTAATATTAACCACTATATTTCAAAGGGGAGCACATCTCAAAGCAATAATATTTTTGCTTAAATAATTTGACTAAAATATGAATCATTTTAGTCATCAGGAATAATATATTATTATAATATTGAAAGTAAAAGTCTTAAATGGGAATTATATATATATAAAAAAATGTTTCCCCAAAGTGATACAATTTTAATACATATCTATTATCAAGAAATAATAGATAGAAGTTTAATTTCAAAGACTGTCAAAACTTTAGCTGGGAAGACAATCACAGGGGGTTCAGGAAATTCTTTATACTCAAAGTGTAGTGATAAAAAGTAATCGAATCACATTTTTTTTTCAAGCAGAGAGAGAGCTTTACCAAGCATTCGCTGAATTAAGTGTTGGCAGTCTAGCTTGTTTGTGATTGAAGAAATGTAATTGCCCCCTGATCTCTCCCACCATAAAAACCAAATAGTAATTCTTCTAAAGTCTCTCACTGCCCTTTCAGCTCAGGCTCCTGCTCTGACTGCAGACTGTGTCTGTTTGTACAGACGATTACAGACAGTTCCAGTCCACAGGAGAGTGGAGTCTGAGCTAGTCTTCCTGTCTTAGAGCAGTGTGACAGTGAGACAGGTCCCTGGCTGTCTGTGGTCACTCTTCTGTAGCGGTTGACAGCTTGAGAGTTCACCTCAGCCAAGAGTGCTCGCACTCTTGCAGGACATTATTACCTCTCTTTAGTCATATCATCAGCCTGCACAATGTTTTTTCTTTTTTGTTCAATAGAAAATAGGACATTTGGCATGCAAAGGTTATTGGTAAATACTTTACCTTAGTAATGCCAGTTAATATAACAAACAAACTTCAAATTATAATCTCAGAGATTCTTCTATAAGACAAAATTCTGTTTTATTTGTGATGATTTAAATGTGCTTTTAAACCATTACGTTTTCTAATGAATGTGTCATTAGAAGTTTTTTGCATTCTCTTCTTGTTTCTTGATTTAAACTTCATTTAAACTAAACTAAACTTTATTCATCTAAAATTTTAACTTTAGAGGCAAACATGCTCAGAGGTTGGAAAAAGTATGTGCAGATACACTACCATTCAAAAGTTTGGGGTCAATTTAATTGTATTTACTGTCTATCTGTCTGTCTGTCTGTGTCTGTCTGACTGTCTATCTATCTTTTATATATATATATATATATATATATATATATATATATATATATATTTTTTTTTTTTTTTTTTTTTTTTTTTTTTTTTTTTTTTATTTATTTTTT